CCCCCCCAATCACTGTTCTGTTCTTTTTTTTTTTTTTTTTTTTTAGTCAAGCACCTCTAGGGACAGACCACAGCAGTGCTGAAGGCAGTAAGCAGAACAGCAGGATCCTTCCTGCCCTGATGAGGAAGGGATGGAGACTGGGGGATCCAAGCCCCCCTGGGCTGCCTTAGGACACCAGCATTCCCCCTGCTAGAGCAGAGAGAAGACTCAGGCAGAGCAGCCTGGGGCTAACTCCACAGCGGCAGGGCCAGTGAGCTGGCTACCAGCACTCCGCTGGGCCTTGACCAGAAGCCTGAGAGGAGAGAGGGATGGACAGGGAGGTGTCCCCACGAGTGGGGCAGGGGCCACGCCAGGGCTGAAGAAGCCAACTGCCTGCATTTACTGAGAGCACGCTCAAGCTGTCTCTGTCTTGGGCAACACAGCAACAGGGAGAGATGCAGATGCAAGCAGGGTGAAGAACTGGGTGGGCCGTGGAGGGCACAGAGACAGCCGCTGGCTGAACACTCGGGCACGAGCCTCCGCGCCCAGAGGCCAGGATCTGCACTGTACCCAGCACAAATCCCACTGGAGACTCGGTGGGGCTTCTGGGCCAGATCTGGAGCCTTTTATTTATTTATTTTTTTTTTTTCTGTATTTTAGGGACGGGTCTACAGGGTGTTCAGGGTCCCACTACTAGATCAGACTCGTAGTGATCTGCCTGTTTAGAGCCTCCCAAGAGCTGGGATAACAGCCGTGTGCCACCACGCCCAGTCTCAATTGCCCTCTCAGGGTGCCCTGAGGTGGGGCCAGCACGGCAATCCCCGGCCCCTGCACCTGCTTGCAGGTGCTTTAATCTGCTGAGCTATTTGGCCGGCCCCTCAGATCTGGATCCCGACTTGAATGCTATCACAGAACCGTGGAGCCAGAGGAATTTTTGTTCTGCTCTGTTTTGTTTTGTTTTTCTTCTTTTGTTTCATTTTCTACTTCCTGTCTGGCTTTCCAGGGGAGTGTCTAGATTTTTACTTATATTGTTTGTTTTGTCTTGTTTTGTCTTTTCCTCTTACACCTCAACTATTTTTCTGGATATTTTCGTATTTTCCTGTGAGTGTGCAATGTCTCTAGTCTTTCTGGTTCACTTCGATATTCTTTTGCTTTCCATTCTTTCTCTCCTGTTCTCATCTCTAACTTCCCAAAGCCTGAGTGGTCACCCTTCACCTTCAGCCTCGCTCCTACTATAGTTCTTTTCATTTGTTTCTCTGTTTTGTTCCCTATGTCTCTTAAACCCTCCCCACACCATGTGGTAAAAGAACTTCACTGGGGCAAACTCAGTGTACGCAAGCTCCTGGTTTATGTCGGGTGTTGTTCTATAATTGTAGATCTTACACCTGTGGTCCAACCCACCAAAGTTAATACTCAGCAGAATGTGTCAGTTTCTAGATCGTGCTTGAAACTGTTGCTGTTGCTAGTCGTGCCACATTAGCCAAGATGTCACACCTGCTGCAATCAGTTGTTCTCCTTAGTATAACAACACTAGGGTGAAAAACATTACCAGGGCCCAATACCAAAGACCTGGGTACTAAGGCAAACTGCAACTACCAACCCTAATAAACTGAGATCGTGGGACCGACACAAAGGCCAAGGGCCAGCTACAGATGTCTCTGAGGACCACACATGGCCCGGAAGCCTCCGTACGGTGGTACAGCTGTCTACCACAGGAAATTTAAAAGCATCAACACAGAAAGAGACTTACACAATAGAAAAGAATAAGATGCAGAAGCAAAATGCAATCGCAGACCACCAGTCAACCCAGGAAAAGTCCAAGGGCCAAGACAGAGGAAATCAGGAGCCATGCACCCAAGTGTTCTGAAATGGTACCCGCAGAAGGAAAGATGCAGAACAGTGAGGCTACAGAGAAAGTCAGACCGATATGATCTCTCAAGTAAGAAAGAGACGAGGACCAAAATGAAGGCCTTGCTCGGTGAATCGAGAGTAGACACAGAGAAAAGGGAACTTATAAAATGACAGAAACCATGAGTGCCCCACAGACAAAACACACAAATCCACAAAACCAGTTCACATGGACATCCAAGAGATGACAACTTCCACTGAAAGTATACACAGTGGACTGAACTAAGGTGAGGAAAGAATATCAGATTTAGAAATGGTATTGACAGCAATCACAGAAAGAAAGATTTCTTCAAAACAGTGAGAGAGCACGAAAAGTCCACCAGCAGCTGCAAAGCAAGGTAAAGAAGAAAAGCGCCAAGCCCACAAGGAGGTCGGGGCAGCGCGAGCACCAGGCAAACCATGCAAACCTGTTCACAGAGCCAGTGGTGGCAAACCTCCAATGCGTGGAAGAGGCCCTAACTAGCCATGAACAAAATAAATCTTTATCAAAGCATATAATAAGCACAATAGAATATTTAAAGCTGTTAAAGACAATCACCTATAGTGGAATAAGTGCTTGCCCGGCAAGTGCAAGGTCCTGACTTTGATCCCAGGTACTACCAAAAAAAAAAAAAAAGAAAGAAAGAAAGAAAGAAAGAAAGAAAGAAAGAAAGAAAGAAAGAGAAAATCACCTATAAAGAAAAGCCCATCAGAATCACATCAGACTTCTCACAGCAAACCTTTAAGTTATGGAGTGTTTGGAGTCTATAGTCCTAAAAGAAAATACTCTCTAACCCAAAGTGATACGCCTTGCAAAGCTATCTTTCAACATCGATGGAGAAATAAAATACTTCCATGACAAAAACAAATAAAGAAATTCATGAACAACAAACCATCTCTCCAAAATGTTCTGAAGAATATTTTAGAAAGAGATGATGAAGACCACAATTCCAAGAACTCCAAGAGAAAGAAACCATCAAGTAAGGTAAGCAGTTAGACAGAGGGGAAAGATAGGGAACCAACAACAAGAAAATAATATGACAAGGACATATACCAGTTACAAACATCAATGTAAATGGCCTCAATTCTCCAATCAAAACAGACAGACTGGCAGAATGCATCAAGAAACAAGATCCAGAAATAGGCTGTATACAAGAAAAACATTTTTCTCAAGAAGAAACTCATAGACAGAAGCCAAAGAATAAAAAATAATACTTCTTGTAACAGGAGCCTGGAAAAAAAAGCAGGGGTGCTATTCTATTTGAAGACAAAGTGAACTTCAAGCCAAAACTGAGAGAACTTCTGCCACACTCTGAGGACCCCTCCAGACTCAGCCCAGGCCCAGGCCCAAGCCCGGCAAATGTGTGAGAGCTTCCACGCTCTCCTGCGCCCGCTGAGTCCCTCCAGACCCAGCCCAAGCCTGTTATGTGAGTGAGACCTTCAGCTGTGCTCTTGGGACCCCTCTGAACCCCTGAAGAACCAGCCCAGGCCAGGCATGTGAGTGAGAATTCTGCCACACTCTCTTGGGACCCCTCCAGACCCAGCCGAAGCCCAGGCCCAGCATGTGTGGGAGAACTTCCACGCTTCCCTTTGCCTGTGGGATCCCTCGGGATCCAGCCCAGGCCCACTTGTGAGTGAGTCCTTCT